CTTCATATTTTGCATAATTCTGAGTAAGGGAAAGTTCATATTAATTTCTGCTAATACCGAATACAAAAAATCTGCTCCATAAGATTTGTGAAAGTTGTATGATATTTCAATAATTTATAATGTGACAAAAGAGAGAGAGAGAGAGAGAGAGAGAGAGAGAGAGAGAGAGAACATACCTGGTTAATCCCTGAGCAGTCCAGCAGGAACAGGTGCATGGGAACATAGACAGGAAAGGAGCCAACCTCCCATGCCATCTTTTTCAACTTCTCTATCTCCCTGACATACTCCCGCAGAGCTCGCTCCTTACTGATGAACTTCTCCACCTGTCTGTCTGCCTCCTTGGACAGCAGATACTTGTACGGCTCGTATACCACCTTGTAGCTGTGGGAAACATGCAAAATGGTAATTAAATTCATTCAGGCTGAGAATGCAACATCGGTCAGTTTCAAAATGTAAGTTCCAGTACACATTTCTAATTCATTTTATAAATTTGTAAAGTAGTCAGGAGCGTTTGTACATAATACAATACAACTGATAAATCTGATAAATATTTGATTTGATTTGTTAAACCGTATGACCTATTTAACAGAATTGATACGAAGGTCAAAATGAGATTTGATAAAAATATTGTTTGTTCCTTACTGTAACTATTTACTGATAGTAAACTGTACATATCCCTTTTATAATAATTAAGCATAGAATTTGCAGAATTTGATGTTGAAAGTGCCAGGTGAAGTGTATCCATATACAATTATCCCATAAGATGATGCCATCTTGTGTGCTAATTGGGAAAATACTTGGGATATGGTAGGTAAGGAAATAAATGCATATCTTTAAATTCAAATATAGTAAAATTAGTACTTTGCCATTTAAACTTTGCCCAATGAGAAAAAAAATGCTGTATGCTTTTCTTATGAAAAGTTGAGAAGTCCCTTAACCAAGAAAAAAATTAATTAGTGGTTATAAACACTTAAAGTGTAATTGTCCTCCTTTTATCTGACAAAGAGTGCTCTATAGAAAAAGTAGAAGTTAAAGAAACCAGAAGTTACTGTAAGATAATGAGGTGACATCTAAAGAATTGACTCTAGATTTAGAAAAATAGTTTAAGACTGAAAATATTAATTTCCAGAAAGGTCCAACAAAATATCTACGAAGTTGATATTTTATGTGGCCCGGTTTTTTAATGATAGAATAAATGTAGAAACAGCTGTCCAAGAGTATTTGAGATGAAATCTGAAAATTTTACATCTATATAGGCTGTAGGGTTAAGAATATTCATGTAACATCTACCCATAACACATGCAGATATATTGAACCCTTCACCAAAAATCTATCTCCATTGAAAATGAGATATTTTAATAAAAAAATATTATAATAAAAAGAAAGCAGGTATGGCTGATATAATAAGTTATTGATAAGGTTAGGAAGTTTCACTGGAAAAAAATGGTAAGTATAACTACTAGTGCAGTTAACTAATATAGCCTTATACATACCTGAACCTGTGGCATAAATAAAGAATAAATAAAAAGTGGCAAAATGTTAAGATGGTGCAAGTGAATAAACACACAGTGTGCCGGGATTGTAACGGAGAGCTCACGATGTTTGGGACATTTTTCTCAAACTGATCATTTAAAATACTTTACTTAATATATGGGCTGAAAAGGGCTATTCAAGACTATCCAAAATATCAAAAGTGAAATTTACTTTTAAAAATTTCAAGCTTTTAGTGACAAAAAGAACTGATTGTCAAAGTTTCATCAAGTCTGACTGAAAACAGCCATGATTCCGACAGTCAATTTTCTTTTCCACGTAGAAAAAAATTTTTAAGGTCGCAAAGGACACCAAAGTGAGCTCTTGTATGTAAAACAAGGTAAGGCTTTTTAAATTCATTGACAAGATATAAAAAGCCTTTGCAGTGAGGCAAATTGAGGCAAGGTTTTAAACCAAATAAACTCAGTAAATATATTCAATGCAAAGCCTTGCACATGCAGAGCAAAACCACTTATTTCATTATTTGTGCAAAATAACCAAAATTAAATACCGAACTTAATCTATTTAGTGCCATAAAATACAAATGTGCATGCTGATTAAAAAGCCTGTTAATTCTTTATCATTACAACTAAAAACTTTTAATTTGTGCACCTCATATTCATATTTAAAACAAAGAGGTTCATCTTAATTAGCATAATGTTTCACTCAACAAACTTAAATGTTTCAGTGTTTCTAATAAGTCACAACCAACTTTTTCTTTCCCCAAACTAGTGACAGATTTTGAGAAACAAATATGCTAATATGAACCACATCATGTTATATGACATATAACACATTATGATATGTACAATACTGATGTACATACATGTACACTGTATTACTTGCAGATCGAGGATATTAAGAAATGCAATCTTTCCCTTCCCCCAAATCAAATATTTTGGAAAGACGATACACTAGATATTTTACAATGAAGAGCCTGCACGGGGCTTAATCCCCCATTTTGATTTGGAATAGTTGAGTGCCTAGGCTTCTAAATATATTACTCTTCTGGACCTGCATTTAATATAAAGTTCTGTACATATCAAATAGGGTTACTATTAATATTATATATGCTAGCTGTGCAATCTATGTGATATGCATGTCCCATTTCTCCCCTGTACATATACACTCACCTCTGAGGTCCATGGAAGTTTGCGTCCACCACTTTCCTGATCCTGACCTTGGCTTCTTCCACGATCTCTTCATCCTGCTTCACTGTACTCAGATAGTGTGTCTCTAGATCTTCCACAGGCTGGAACAACCTGGAAGATTGATATTTGTATATTTTTATCAAGAAATGCCAAAGGAACATTATTGGGAAATTTCTTTCAAGCACCATCCATTTTAATTCATAACAAATGCAACTACAAAGTTTCAATCACACAGACAGTCTTATAGCTGTCACCCCAGACAGTCCTATAGATGTCACCACTAAAAAACAGTCCTTTTCTATACCTGTGTTCTATTCTAGGAATGGCCACAACACTTGCTACCATGGTATTGATAATCTCATCAAATGTGGTCTTGACCTGGCTGACCAGTGGCCTGAACTTGGTGGTATTCTGTGCCATATGCTCCTCCTGGAATGACAGGCCAGAGTTCAAGGTCAAGGTTAAAGTCAAGGCCAATGTTCAATTAGTTTTATGGATACCAGTCACACTGTTCAGTGGACATTTTTCATTTCTGGTGTGAGAACAACTGAGCTTTACAGTATAGGCATGCAAACAGTTCATTTCATCAGATAATTACCCAGCGGGCACTCAACGTTGATTCAACATTGAGGATAGGTTGAGATGATGTTGATCCATCAATATTGATAGATCAACAAGATCTCAACATTGAATCAACCTTTTCTTGTCAACCAATTGTCAATGTTGATAAATCAACAGGGTCTCAA